ACCTATGAGTGTCCTGTAATAGTGGGTTTCCTGGGTTGGACTAGATCAACTTTGACGTACCTTGTAATTCTATGACCGCATAAGAAACTCTGCCTGAAATAAGAAAATAGGCTTTTGAAAAAGGTTTCCCAGAATCAGTGGCTGACCAAAATGATTTGGTGAGTCAGAAAATCAAAATGGTGATCCATCTTGCCACGGACATCTCCCTTCCCAAAATGGCTCCTGTATGGGAGATGACAGTCAACACTAAAGGCACATACTGTAGAAGGACTGGCAATCAGATGACATTCTGAGGAGGAAGTTCTCCACAGGGGGAGGGGGGAAGATGCTTATGGAAATTCAAATCAGGGCCACAAAACCAGTTAGGGATGTAAACCTCTTCCTCATGCCATTTTTCTGATTAAAATTGCCTCAAACCACTATGAACATATGGCAGAAACATACAACAACCATAGAATATTTTTGCTTTTGCTACTCACTTCCTGTGAAGCTCTTAAGAATAGTGAAATCATGCCCATTTTTACAGTACAATATGTCATCCCAGACATACACACTCCAAATTGTTTTGGGGCCTTTGCCTTCCTATCATATTTTCAGAGGCCTCAAATTATTCAAATGGCTGAAGAAACAATCTTGACTGAGCACTGGCCAAAGGAATTCCATTCCCTCTATCATGATGATAGATTAACCACACATTACCACTTTGCATTTACTCTGTTCCATCTTCCTCCTAGAAAATTGTGTCTTTGGTCCTCTTGTGGTTATTAAGTAGTTTGTACTTTGTACCATCTTTTTACATGTTCTGTCAACTGATGAAATCTTAAATTCCCACACAATCCCTCTCTCCAACTGTTTAAGCCTATAAATGTTTTAAGAACATCCGGTCCAACAGTAAATAAGGCTTACAATTGCAAGTAGATTAATAATATTCTTCTTCTTCTTCATGCTTACTGCCCACTTCAGCAGAAACTGAAACAAATTCCAACATTTCATTCACCTGACTCAGTATGTATTCAGCAAGTTAATTCCTTTGGAAAGTTTTCATAACATAGATGGTTCGTGTCTAGGGAAGTGCTGTACAGAATTTGTGAAGAAGACCCTCCCCCCTTTGCTAAGCCCACAAACTAGCTATGTTTGACACATACTCTGTTAGCCACACTGTACAGATAGTGGCTGCATTCACAACACATAACAAGCCACAGATGTGTGTGAACACTGGCTTGTCATGAGTAATTAGAATACTGGTATTTGTAATCTATTGCTCTTTCTTTCAGTGTAAGCAGCTAAACACATCACAGAGTTTTGTTGACTGGCAATGGTCAGCTTCTCTTTGTTGGTTTGTTTTCTCCCAACAAGGTGTAGAACGAAAGTAAGAACAAACCCTGGATTTTCTTCTCTCTCTCTCATCTGTTGGGAAGGAATTCATCAGAAAGAGAATGCTACCCTCTGACAGATGACTTAACAAAACAGCAGAGTGGTTCATTTAGGTGCTTCCAATGCATGCAGAAGCAACCAAGTAGCATATCAACACACTATTCATTCAGCAGCACACTACTGACACACAACACATGAATCTCTTACAAATCCCTGGCTTAGTGTATTATAGAAACATAGCAAGTGACTCATTAATTTAACAGTAGCAAAAAGGCAAAAGTAGTAAATCTGTTTAAAAAGCACCACCTCACATTTATCAGCCAATTCCCTTTCCCCAAAAACCTGGAAATAAAAAAGATCTCTTCCTTATCCCTGTTTTCTGCCTGATTTTATAAAGGCATTGAGTTTGCAGTGCAAATTCCTTTTGGCATAAGGCAATGCAAATTTTTAAATCATAATCAGATTAATTCCAGATTCGTATACAATACAATCTAATTCACGGAGAAAACTAGAAAGAAAACTTGATGCAATTTAAAATTGGATGTTTATGTTTCTATCCACTACAGCAGATGGCATGACACTAAACAGTCATCACTTCAAGACAAATTAGCATTGTTTCAGAGAAGCTGGTATACATACACCAAATATGACAGAGAGGATATGATCTGACAGAACAGGAAATCACTTCCTTAAAGACATTGAAACAAGCACAGGAGAAGCTTCAAGAATACAACTCTCTGTACTAAGCATCTGTCTAGAGCCTATGGTGTTATTGGGATGGGTTTCCCACTCTTAAGATTCCAATAAAACAATCCTGCTGCTCTTGGCTTGCATAAAAGATCTTGCAATTATATCAGCACATGTTGTTTTAGACTAGTTCTAAACCTGATGCTTCAATCCATAGTTTAGAGTCATGTGAATGATCACATGTTGTTTTAGACTAGTTCTAAACCTTCAAACCATAGTTTAGAGTCATGTGAATGAGTTGGAGGATCACATGTGATTTTCTTTCTCTCTGAGGTTTGTTCCTCCACCTCTGAATTATCACCATCCACAATTTACAGAGCAAACTGGCAAAGTATACATAACACAGCATCTAGAATACTATTTGCAAAGCTTCCAAACTTCAGTTTCAAAGAGTGACAAATCAGAGTTTGACTCAAGAAATAAAGAAACAATCTGCATGCAAGAGCTCTGAGGTTGGTTCCTCCACCTCTGAATTATCACCATCCACAATTTACAGAGCAAACTGGCAAAGTATACATAACACAGCATCTAGAATACTATTTGCAAAGCTTCCAAACTTCAGTTTCAAAGAGTGACAAATCAGAGTTTGACTCAAGAAATAAACAATCTGCATGCAAGGGTAAGTAGGTAGTCTATGCTCAGGCCTCCAAAATCTTCAATGCCAAATGCTTTATTACCATGCTTTTAGTCTAAGGCTTTTCCTAATTCAGTGCTGGATAGCACACAGCTTATTCGTCAGATGGGCCCCCAAGCTGGTTTTGTGCACACCCATCCCTTCTGTTGCTGAGTTTGCCATCATGGCAGCAGCTATTGGAGGGGGGACCTGTTTTGCACCTTTCGAACAAGGCATGTGCTAACCATGCACACTAGTTCTAATTAGAGGCAGAATACCCCCCTTTACATGTGCTTTGTGAGTAAGACAGTTTCTTGGATGCTTTAAAAAAAGAGAAGGAGTGGAAAGGTCTTTAACAGTGACCAGAACAAAAAGCAAAGATTCCTCCCTGTTATATAGCAACAAATTCAGCTGCAACCGTGGGATGGGGGTGTGGGACAGGAAACCCACAGCAAACTCATCACCCACTGCAGAATAAAGATGTATATTTGTATCTTCTCTCCCTGCTCTGGTCCCTTCCACTAGCATATGGGAAGAAAAAGCTACAGATCACTTTTACAGGAAAAAATTTGAGGCAAGATGGTTTCTGGAACTCATTTGTTGCTAGTCCATAGAAATATGCAAAACCCACTTCTCATTGTTAGTTCTTAATATAAATAAAAAGCAAGTTCTTTTCTTACTGTTCACATTTTTGTTTTACACATTTTATCAGTTAATGGGGTAAATTTTAGATGATTATTTTAATTCTAATCAGTTGTTGGATTGCATTAACCACTTTTAGCACTTCCACAACCAATGAGAAACGGATATAATTTATGCAGACCATGTCAGTTACAGAACCTCAAATATAGAATTTAAGATTCCTGTTTGTGCCAGCTGTAGGAGAAAGATGGAGACACACAAATGTTAGGAGTTCAATCCTATCTGTACTTATTTCTGTTCAATCTCACTTTCATCCTCATTCAACTACAAATTGCAGACAGAAAACATCTTGATTGCAAAGAGTCTCATGGTATATAAACAGTACATTCATACTAAATGCTTTCAGTTGTATGAACAAGTTAAAAATATCTCCCAAAATAGGCCAGTCTTGACCATCTAAGTTTGAGTGTTCCCATCTTTATGAGGTAAGGTTTCCTCTATTTAAGGAAACTGGAGAAGAGAATAAGCTGGCCACTTGAATCAACAAGCAGAGAAGCACTCTTCCAGATGTTAGTGACATAACTGGTCAATCAGCAAATTATTTAGTGGATGTTTTGACCTTTTTCATGATTCTTGACTGGCATTACAAAAGGGCTAAACAGTTTAGATTAACTGGAGCATAGTAAAAAGAGAGAGAAAGAGAAGAATGAGCACATATGTATGTATGTATGTATGTATGTATGTATGTATGTATGTATGTATGTATGTATGTATGTATGTATGTATCTCTCTCTCTCTCTCTCTCTCTCTCTCCAGCCTTTCTCCTGAAAGTATGATTCATCCCTAGTTTTTTTGCTAACATCTAGTCCCACAAACACTGTATGTATGTATGTATGTATGTATCCCTGTCTCTCTCTAGCCTTTCTCCTGAAAGTATGATTCATCCCTAGTTTTTTTTGCTAACATCTAGTCCCACAAACACATAGCCATCTTTCCCCTCCTGAAGGGCTAGATCTTGTTCGGCAGTAACAACTCTAAAGCACTGTATCTCATGTATAGGCTCACATCTCTGGAGGAAAACACAAAGGGTACGTATAACAATCTATGTGTAGATGCCTAGAGCTGTCTGTAAATGCACAAACATTAAGTGCACATATGCATGCATATACTTAGAGAAACACAGACAAATTGGTACAATGTATGGTCAAGAACAGCTGGAGTCTGAGAGGGAACTTTTATGACATTAACCCAAGGGTTCAGCTTTACCACTTGTTCATGTGGAAAAACTACAGTCATAACTTGGAAAAAAATTAACTATGGAACAAAATTAAGAAGAGCATCCAAGGACTCCAGTTGGATAAATGTGCAACTAAGTCCCAAATACTGAGTCGAGCCTGCTCCTACCTGTACAGACCACTCTTACCCATTGCTTTCTTAACTGTCACAAAAGAATGTGACAAACCTTTTGGAACTGACTTTTAAATAGAACAATATGTTTATAGACTACAGCCTGATGTCCTAATGCATCTCAACTTCAAACATTTGCTCAGTAACAGTCACTTGGATTAGTATCAGCCCACAAAATACCAGTTGCCAGGTTACCTCAGGTTGCCTCAAATCCTACCTGACTCTCCACATTTTTCTTTATTCACTTTGACTTCAGTGAACAGGTGTGTCTATGAAGGCTCACAGGCTCAAAAAAATTCATCCATGTGAACAATGGAACTGCAGGTCTGTTGGTTACCATGTAAAGAAAATAATGAAAGGCAAATCATGTAGTCACTGTGGAACAGCTACCTGTGAGCACCTTTTGTAGACAATTCTGGACATTTTTGAAACCACAGCAGAATTCTAAAGCCATGTTGCTCACTTACAATGTCATCCACAAACCAGTGTGACTTGAAACACAAGCCAATCTATCTACAGTATACTGTTTTACAGCAGGGACAGGGATTATGTGGAAACTACTGTGATTCCCAAGCACTGGCTACATTGGGCGTTGGAGTCCAACTATGTCTGCAGGACAATATGCAAAGCTTGGAAACAGTGCATCCATTTGATCTGTTATACTGTATTTAGAACTATTACTTTCACATTAAATGCAGGGGAAAGCCAACTGAAGCATCTAGAGATTTACACTTTAAAAGTAACACTTCTAATGCTAACGTTTTGCTTTCAAATGCTACTTTCTTAAGATTAGGCACACTGCCCATTCAATTTTTACCCAATTTGCTAAATGTTAATGGTTTTACGGGGGTGGGGTGTTCATATGATTTTATTATTTATTGTCCAGAATCCTGTTGGTGTGAATTTACATGGATGGAAGAAGATATTATCATCAGTTTTTGCCACTAAAATTTAATTGAAAATCCCATTTTAGGTTAGGGGGTTCCATGTTGTTGTTGATGTTGTTTAGTCATGTCCAACTCTTCATGACCCCATGGACCAGAGCACGCCAGGCCCTCCTGTCTTCCACTGCCTCCTCGGGTTCGGTCAAATTCATGTTGGTAGCTTCGATGACACTGTCCAACCATCTCATCCTCTGTCGTCCCCTTCTCTTCTTTGGGTTCCATAGGCCTCCCTTAATTGCCAAAAATTGCTGCTGGATTGCCAACAGTGGTCCTAATCCCAGGGACTGTAACTGAGTAGCAATATTTGGTGACCTCAAGGCTCCCCCACTAAGAAGTTTGTAAGCCACCTTATATGCTGTCTTCAAGTGGAAGGCTTCCTTTCCCACAATTTCAGGTTATGAGCCTCCCTAGGGCTCCCTTTTGCTCTGGTAAAGCTTTTGGGAGCCTTGGTACAGAGAGGGGGAGCCTTGAGGTCACCAAAAATCACTACTGGATGGCTGCCCCTGGAATTAGAACCACTACTGTCGCCCAGAGTGGTCATACAGACCAGATGGGTGGGATATAAATCAAATCAAATCAAATCAAATCAAATCAAATCAAATCAAATCAAAAATCAATCAATCAATCAATCAATCAATCAATACTGGAGATCCAATGGCAAGTGTTGGCAGCTAAAGGCTCTTAAGGTTCCAGAGGTGTCTCCAGGGCAAAAAGAGAGCCATAGGGAGGCTTGGAACCTAAAATGGGGAAAAGAGGAATCTTTTGATCAATTTAAATTAAATGTTACCAGTGCCAGTTAAGGGCATCATCATCAACTTCTGCCAGCATAAAATTGCACAAGAGGATATTATCCTTTATGATTATTATTGGCTAGATATTTTTATTTGTTTTTATCCTTTTAAGAAGTTTGTAAGACACCTTGAGTGCCATCTTTTAGTGGGCACAAGAGGATATTATCCTTTATGATTATTTTTTAAATTGGCTAGATATTTTTATTTGTTTTTATTCTTTTAAGAAGTTTGTAAGACACATTGAGTGCCATCTTTTAGTGGAAAGAGTATAAATGTAATAAATAAATAATGTAGACGTAAAAGTGTTAAGGTTAACATGTTATTTCCACATTTGCCAACCTTGGTTTTAAAGCTTTCTGATTCCTTCCAATATAAAAATGTGTAGAAATGTCATTTAAATAAGAATAAGATGTGCAATCCATGAGTGACCAATGTCATAAGTTTTAAAATAAACAGCAGTAAACAACAGACTCAAGAGCAGCCATTCTGAAATCAATGAAACCAATAATTGTGAAACTGATTTTGGGATTCATTTTTATGTTATTTATATACTTTTTTATCCTGCCTTTTCACTAAAATACTGCTAAAATACCTGCTATAGTGTAGGAACAACAGTCTCTGACATCCTGCCTAGTTCCATATGAATGGCTCCTAATTCTATCAAAACCCACTGTGTAGCTGTTCTTCCTTTTCCTCTTCAATTTATTATATGAAAAATGAAAAACAAAACAAGAAAACCTAAACAAAACCTGGGAAAGAGTAAGATGAGTAAGCTGTTTACTCATAAACATTTTGGATAGTTTGGAGCCCTCCCAAATGTCTATGAATAAGACAGTGTGACTGCTCTGCTGAATTCAAACCTCCCGCCCATTTTCACAAATAGTAAATGTTAAGAGTTGCTCATTAACAGAGCAGACAAGACAGGGGTTTAGTAAACAAGGGAAAGGTAGAGGAGAAAGGCTAAGTGCAAAGAATAGCTTTAAAGGAAAATATCTACATTTGACAAAAAACAAACAAGCATATCAGGCGGTTGATGAACTGAGGACAAAAGCCATGGAAGATAAACTTTACCTCAGAAAACACCAGGCTCCATGTCCAATTTTGTCAAATGATAAAAGATGAAGAGAGAGAGACTGCATTGTTATTACTAGCACAGACCTCAATGTGGTTCGAGACAAGATTTTCATCAAATTACAGCTCTGCCTCATTCAGTGAATTTTATGAGAACTTCACACATCCTCCACTTCTGTTCCTCTCCCTTGTTTTTCCACTTCTTCCATGTTATTTCTGGTCAGGGAAAAATCCATTAAAGAGAAAAAGATGGAACAGCTGCAGAGTGCCATCTATTTGCTAGCATGAAGAGCCAGGTGTCAGCATGGAAATTCCCCCAAAAGTAGTTTACTTCAGATAGTATTTGTGGTATTAGACCAGCCAGCCTCAATTATGGCTTGGCCATAAGGAGCTGTAATCTGTAGTCACCATTCAACCCCTCCATTTCCCAAGCTCTCTGTGCATACCCAAGAAGTTGCTTCTGCCAAAGCCACAGCACACAAGCATGACGAGAAATGCCACTTCCCCTTTGCCACAACTGGATGGGAAATATGGGGCTGATGCACATAATGTGTTGGGTTTTGGAAGCACCAACAGCCCCTCTGCTTGTGCCAAAGTTCAGCAAGTCCAACCTGATGCATTTGTATTTTGCTGCAAGTTTAAGCATGATATAATACTCTGATGTCTGCAAGTTCTACAAATCTTAAAGCAGCAAAGAGTTCTTGGAAGAAAGCCATCCCATCAAGTATTACCAAACCGCTGTTTAATGAACCAAAGTCAGTAAGGGCTTTAAAAAAAACAAACAGCTTTCTAGATTTCATGCTGCTATCCAAAGATCAGGAATATTTTTCTGTCCAGATTAAAAACATACACAAACACAAAACTGTATCATTGGACATAAGATCAAACAAAGCCAGCATGATAACTTCTTACTATAGAACACTACAAAAGGCAGGAATTTGCTCATGTTGAGCAAAGCAAGCATATTTCTACTTTTGCTCTTAATATTGGAAATATTTTGATTACTTTCTTTGCTCTTTTTTCTGTGTTTAGCCACCAATAATTTCCATATTGTTTATTAATTATTTGTACCTCATTAACAAATGCAATTTAAAACTACCTATATTCCCTGTTTCCCCCAGTGAGTTCAAAGTCGCATACAAGGCTCTCCTCCCTACTTCATCCTCACAAAAATCCTGTCAGGCCAAAGGACACTGGCCCATCTCACCCAGAGACTTTCATGTTTGAGAGGAACATGAATGTGGATATCTCAGCTCACTGCCCATTCATCAGCCTCTCCTCAGTGACAAGACCTGTAGGCTAGGAGACAGTTTTCAGAAAACAATGTACATATCTATCCCTGCAATAATAATTTCTTATGACTGCAGTCTTCCTGATTAAACTGTTTGAAAATATGTAACCGAAGAACTACTTTTTCTGCCAAGGCATTTACTCTTCTTTCACATCCTGTCAGTGTGACAGAAGACAATTGTCATAGATAATTTAACACTTTAGTTCATATGTTGCAAATGGAGATGTGCCAGAGAATTCCATTTTCAATCATATTTTGATTTCAAAAAAAGGAAATTTCTCCAATGACAGAGCTGATACAAAGGAAATTGAAATGAAAATTGGAGAGGCTCAAATCTTTCTAAAGTATTTGGAGCTTACTCAAAACCACAATAACAGAGGCTCAGTTAGGAGATATACCACAGCTCATGAAAAGTAGTACAACATTCAAATGCTCACCAGGAAATTTAACTAGCAGTGCCAAAGGAGCTGTTAAATCAGGGTGGGGTGGGAAGGTCTTTCACAAACTGGAGATCTTGTCTGAAAAACGAAATCAAAAGAAACAAGCTTTTACAAAACAGACGAGGGATGGAGACAGGGAAAGATTTGGAGAAGCGTACAGATAACAACACTAAAATCATCATCAGCAAAAAAATAATGTCTAAAATACAGCAGGAAGAAACTGGCAACCTGAATCCAGATGATAGCCATTCTCAAATGTGAACCTGCTAACAAAAATACATAATATATTCCTAAAATCAGCCTTTGTATCAGAAGACTGCACTGGCTGGATAGCTCAGTAACTTAGATATCTGAGTGTGGATTCAATGATTGGGAGCTCAGTTCCTCACTGTGCCTCCCAGAAGAGCCAGCCTGTGTGGCCTTGGGCAAACTGCACAGTCTCAGGATGCCTCCAGAAGAAGGGTTTGACTACTCTCTACCTCAAAACTCCTGAAAAGAGTTGCCATAAGTGCCAGCCAAGAGTCTTCTTTCTGAGTGGGAAGCATGGGCAGAACTAAGCCCAACTCAACCTCAAGGCCTTCCAATTTGGGCCATTTTCCCAGGTGTGTCACATTTAGTTTTTGTAAGGTGTCCGTAAGGTAAGCATAACTCTCAAAATGAAGAATCATTGTATTTGCAGTCCATAAAGACCCATATCTATATCAGTTGTTCGGGACCACAATCAGCAAGTAGTTTTTTGCATTAAAAACTTGTTTATGGGGTTGAGCTGGGTTGGGCAATGTATGAAGAGAATGCTGGCATAGATAAGCATGCTCTTCTTCTGTTCTGCATGTGAATGCATACCCATTTTGGCAGAGTCATGTACTTCCCTCTTGCAAGCAAATTCTCACCTTCTTTTTCAGAGATCATCTCAATGCAGTATCCATTCATGTATATCAAATTTAGCTTCATGGCTAAAAATTAGAAAGCCACTTCTAACCATGGCTACTAACTTGCAAACACTGGAGAGAAGTAAACCATGGTTACAATGAACAATGCTACACACTAATTTCAAAAGGGAAGGAAGGAAATAATTTGGGGGAGGCACTGAAAAGCCACAGTAGGATGTTTGCAGTCTCGCAGCTACTCACAAGAGAATAGGAATAACAGGCCTGCCGTGATCCATAAAAAAGATTAAGAAACAATCTGTAATTCTTTGGAAAATATCACAAATTGCAGATCCAGTGGTCAAATGCATCATGATTCTCTAACAAACACAGTATCACTTCCCCCCTTGGAATTTGTATGATGAAAAAATGACCAATGTTTTGCACTGGATGCTAGAACAGAAAATCATCCCAATGTTACACTAGAAGCACTGATAAAGGTATTACTGCTATGTTTCTCTAGGCTCTCTCTGTCTCTACAGTTAATTTATCTGATCTCTTTCATCTGCCCTGGTCTAAATGCATGCAGTGTTTTCAGGCATTGCCAAGCGCCCTCAGATTGGTGTGTTAACTGTGTGTGAACATTCCACACACTTAGCCCACAACTGCACAGCAGAAACATGTGAACATTGCTCCCTGCCATATACAGTGAACATAAATACAAGGAAGGGTTTTAAGCAGTCACCGCACATGAGAGGCTCATTTTATGGTTGTTTAAAGCCCAGTTGAAACATTGTTAGCAGCCAATGAGCAAATAAAATCCAGTCATAATCAGCACACAAAACAAAACTTTCTTACGTACATTCTACACCACATAATCTGGATATTCTCACTAACTTATTACATTTTGGTCCTTCACTGGGTAGACACTGTGAAACCTATTACTGATCCGAAAACTTGGGGCAGATTGTTGAAGCTATTTGGTGACCTAAGCTTGCATAAAAAGAGCCTAACAAGAAGAAGAGAAAAACCTGCAAGGTTTTTTTTTTTAAAAAAAAAAATCAGTCCTCTTCATGTTGATGGAACAAAATTCATTTCCAGGCATTTTAATTTCTTTACTGATTCATCCAAAAGGGATTGTCAAAACACAGCACAACATTTTGGTATGATCAGCTATACCACCTCCCAGGCAGAAAGCAGCAGAAGCAGCGTGACTAAAGTGGTCATTTGTTGTAGAATTGTTCCCCACCCCCCCAAGGAGATCTGAGCTTAGTAACTTAAGAAGGAAGGAAGGAGAAGGAAGAGAAGAAACACTGTTTAAGAGACCCAAGGGTACCGACCCACCAATAAATCGTACTTTCTGAAATGGCCTCCTTGATCCCAGGGAGTAGAATTCTTACACTGGAGAAGAAAAGACACTCTTAATACACTCCAACATTTCCCCTATTCTTTATCTTTTCACACATTCCAGAACTAAACTCTAGGCCAATCTGAATTTTGCTACACTAGACGAGGAGCTACATCACACATTCATCACCACTACAGATGGGGCCATGTTGCTTATTTGCCTCATCCCTGCTACACACACACCCTAACTGAGAAATCCTCCTCCTTAGTGTCCCACATCTAACTAAAGCAGCAAGAACCTATAGCTTTGTTCCCTGATCTTTCAGCATTGAGATCACCCTTTTTGATTTGCTTCAGGTGGAGGTTTGGTGGAGAATGACAGTTTGGAAAACCCACTTCGTCAAGATACTACCTTAGGCAAGTCCTTTTGAAACAAATTAACTGGCTCAGAAACAACCTAAACTCAACTCAAGGAAAGCTCAGGTGTAATATAGACGTGGAGGAGCCAAGAATGGTAAGGGTGCTCTACATTTGCTATATGACAAATTCTAATTGAAAATTTCCTGTCCTCCTCCCCTTTCAGGTTCTGAGGGTCCCTAGGCTCCCTTCTGCCTTGGGAAAATGTTTGAGAGCCGCTGGACATTGCAAATAGTCAAATATTGCTACCAGCTTACTACCACTTCATTTACATTATTTCCAGTGCTGGGTCTAGGTTATACTGGCATAACTGCATGCAGATTCTGTACAATGGCCCTAAGGGTGCCTTCTCCTGCAATCTGTAAGATATTCTAATACGTACAGGGTCAAAATCAGTATATCTACACATATAGATGTGCACTTGCTTTGGATGGAACAAACTGATGTTTGCAAAAAAAAAACAACATGTGTCACGAAAGCAAATCTGTCAGGGAGCATAGGTGAAAGTTCACTTGTTAAGGGGCAGAACTACAGCCCAGCAACAAAGCAGGTATTTTCCATGCAGAAAATATCAAATTAAAACATTAGATGGAAAATATGTGAAAGGCCTCTCCTGGAGACTCTGCAGTGCCACTTTCCATGCACAGTAAGCCATACTGAACTAGACAGACGGCGGCCTGATCTGGCTTAACACGGGAGACACACGTGTTTGTTTATGTAGCCGATTGCTTGCAAGTGCCTTCTTCTCTAAGGATCAAACCTGTGATAAACAAATGTTTCGCAACCCTTGATCACCTCCTTTCTTCCTATCTAATCATAAACATGTCTGAGTGTGCTTCTTATAAAAATTCAACCTTTTACCGGAGGCTGTGAAAATTAAAAAATTTAAAAGTTGGGAGTCGGTGGGAAACGAGCTGCGTTCTCCGCAGGCTTCTTTCGAAAGGAGAAGCTGGGCAGGTTTCTGTGGAATTTTGCAGGTCTTGAGGGAAAACGCCTCGGCAGCAAGTCTAGGAGGCTGGCAAACTCCCCGGCCCGACCGACCCCCCCTCCCTCTCACAGGGGCGATGGGAAAAGATAGCCGTAGCATTCCCAACGTGACCAAATTCTCTGACAGAGTGATGTCTTCATTAGGCTAACATTTTTTTTTAGTTAAAGCGAAGCAGAATCAGCGGAGAGGTTCTCTCCCAGAAAAACCGACGCTCCGATAGTTTTTCACCTCACTTGAGGATGGCACTCTTTCTTCTCTGAAGTTAACCTCCGGGGGCCAAAGTGCCGCCGGGAAAGGGGTAAGCAAGACCCCAACCCAGCAGTCTCCACAGAGTCTCCCCAACCCAGCACCCCTCTTCCACAGAGTCTCCCCCACACAGGGGGAGTGGGTCCCTGCGGGGTCCCTGGAAAAAGCGCGCCCGCCCCGGGCCAGACCAGATTCTGCTGGCTTTCCCTTCTCATTTCCGGGATCGGCCACCCGCCTTCCCGACACCCCCACCCCCACCTCCCACTCATAAACCTCCTTCAGTTTCCTCACTCAGCTCCGCACCTTACCGTTCAGGGCTGTGGATGAACCTCTCCGGGGCGCGCAGCCGCCGCCGCCAGAGGAGCTCGCGGTGGCTCGAAAGCGCGCTTCAGGA